GCCCGCGGCGTGAGCAAAGGCGCTGTGCGAGAGCGAGATTAAATACCCGTTCTCGTCTTGTTTTTATTCTGACCCGCGGGGTGACTGATGTGTCGGGCATTTCTTCGGGAAGTTTAAACAAATACATCAGGTTTGGCAGCTGGCTCCTTTTTGTTCCTGCTTTGATGCCTCTCTCTGTCTCTAGCTACTGTGACTCTTCTTGTCCCTCTTTTCTAGACAGCTGAACGTTGACAAAATGTAAAACTAAGCAAAAGCTATTTCTCCTAACTTGCCACTTCGTGGTGGCCACCCTTGCACTGTTTGATTCTAAGCCTCCTGCAGGGGCAATGACGTTGTATCTGCTTTTAGAGAGGAGATTTTTTAGAACCCAATTCACAAGAACATACTAAGTTTAAAGATGGACAGAATTTCTAAGCAAAGGCCTTTAACTCTGTGTTTAGCTTAGAGTTAGTTTTTATAGCTTAATTATAAAGCTTTGGTAACAAGAATTAGCCTCCTAATAACAGTAATGAGCTCTGGGACACAAAGTGCATTCCTTCAAAATTAAAAAAAAAAAAAGACAAAACTAAAAAAACAACAACAAAAAAACACCCTCAAACCTGTAAAGCTTGGGAACTCGGTAATGTTTATTCTCAGAAGCAATGTCACATTCCACTTCTCATTTCAGACACGGGATTCCAAAACATGCCTTGCGGCATCACCCGCTGCCAGAGCCACAGGCTGAGGTGTGCTCAGCCACACCCACGGCTGGAAACTGTGCCGAGATCTCCAGGTACTTGTCATAACAGAGCATTGAACCTTTGTCCAGAGACAGTGGTAAAACCAGGTGCATGTGTGTTGAGTTACATTTACAGAGTAATGCTGCTGGTAGGCTTAGGCTTTACCTCAGATCTGTGTCGTTTCAGAACACCTCCTTCCTATTCTGGAAATAATAAAAAGTGTGCAGCTGTGTTCTGTTCCCAGCTCACGAACAGCCCGGGTCATCTGCTTTTATCGCTGAACCAAGAGAAGGAAAGATAAAAATAATTCCTGAGTGGTGTAGAACTGGAACTTAGAAATAGTCTGCAGCTTAACTGAGAAAATTTTTGGAAAATATGTTTTGCTTGACCTCTAGACTGCCTATGTCATTGAGGTTATAAGGAGTTAGAGTTGATATAATTACTACTGTACCGTGTCTTCTGCTTAAATGTCTCTGAAATAAATATTTACTCTATGAAAACTTACCATTGCTAAAACCTTTTCTGATCATAGAATCATTTAGGTTGGAAAAAAACCTTTAAGACCATCAAGTCCAACCATTATATGTCTATGCTTTTTTTTTTGTACAGAAATAAAAAGTTTACTCACCCACTTGAATTGTGTTTTGCTGGGAGTTTTTTTTCATTCTTTTTTTCCTCAACATGTGCATTTCAGGGAGTCTGAGACCTGGAAGGAATCGGATTACTCTTCTGTTACTCCAGCTGATCATAGGAACTCAGGGTCTGCTAGTCAGAGTTATGCTGACACCTCCACTCAGGACAGCTCAGTCTTCTGGGGCTATGACGTGAGTAGAACATAATCATCCCAGACAAGGGTAGCACAGTCAGTAGAAAGATGTTGGAAATACAGTTGCAAATACATTTGGGGATAAAAATGAGGATTTGGTCTGTCAGTAGATCCTGATGGTGGTGATAGAAAGAACATCTTTTTTACCTCTTCCCCATTTTTCATTTCTCTCAGAGCAAAACATATTTTGCTCATGTTGTTCAATTGCTAACTGCATTTCCATCTAAAACTTTGGAAATGCAAATTATTTAATGTGTAACTGTATCTATACAACATAATAAAAGGTGTTATTGTGGAATCACAAACATAAGTGGATGACTTTCAGACACTTGGGGTGAGTTTATCAGAATTCTGCATACTTCTTTTTCTCAAAATACAGTAAGCCATATAGTAAAACATTATTGTAATTTAGAAATCTTTTATTTCCCATCTACCAAAGCAAACTGTGCTGTTGGTTTCCGTCAGGTGAGACGGAACTGTTTAGATTTAAATTACCCAAGAACCAACCCCATTTTCTAGCGACTTGAGAACAACGTTCCTGAACTTCCTTTGCTTTCATGGTGTTTCACACCAGTCTGTATGGCTTTTTGTTCTGCTGTTGTCTGTGGACATGGCAAGCAGCAAATTTTCTGTTTCGTTAAAATGTTTTCCTTCCTGTTCCAGTTTCTTTTACATAAATTACTACGTCTTTAATTTTGTATAATACAGGTATTTCAAAGCATTGCAATAGCTTTTCTGTTGTGTCACTGTAAGCTTTTTATGTAGCTACTATCAGTCCTAACAGCAATCTGTGTCATCTCCAAGCGGAAATTATTTAATGTCCATCTATGCAGAAGAAATAAAACTGTTCAAATGAGTCCCACTAAGCTTTAAACAAATAGTTGTCTTTTTCAGTTATAAAAGAAATTCAATTGAAACACCCCTCCAAATGCTATTCACTAGGTATTTATGGATAACTTTCCTGTCTAGGAATTTGATAAAGCTGCCACACAACAAGTTCAGCAAATGTTTAGACAAATTGATGAGCTTCTTTATGAGCAGAACGAAAATGTGCATGTTGAGGGACTACGGGAAGAATGCCACCAGTGGACAGTCAACTTTCCTCATCTCAGGTATTTTATTAATAGAGTAATGCTAGTGCCATCACAAAGTGATAAAAGGGTAGTCATGGGAAATGTTGTTTTTAAAACAATGTTAGTAGCAGCGTGGTTGCATGCAACTATAGAGATAAAAAGATCACTTTAGTATTCTGCCTGCCATTGTCATGGATAAACATTGGGATCCTTGCCAGAGAGTTATCACTGTTTGCAACTGGTTTGGCCTTAACATAGCAAAATTCTCTTAGAAAAGATAAATAGTAGAGCTAAAGGCCAGGTCCTTAAAAACAAATAATTAAAAATTATCCTACCTGACCTCAGCAGTCCATACAGCTATTGGGAAATTTAAATTTTAAATCTTCAGTACATGTACTTGAACAGTTTTGTCCATATTCAAGTCTTATCATTAGCAGAGCATAGGAAAACCAAGAAAAATTTTCTTAATGTTTCTGCCTAACTGAAAGAAATTTAATGGGGACAATCTTTTTAGCAGGGCCTGTTGCAACAGGACAAGGGGTGATGGTTTTAAACAAAAAGTTAGTTTAGAAAAAGAAAAAAAAGGTTAAAAGATTAAAAAAAAGGTTCTCAGGACTAGTCAGCATGTGTTTACCAAAGGGAAATCATGCTTGACTAATCTGATAGCACTCAGTGATGTGGTGACTGAATGGGTAGATGCAGGGAGACCAGTAGATGTAGTCTGCGTTGACCTTAGCAAGACATTTGACACAGTCCCCCAAAACATCCTCCTGAGCAAGCTCAGAAGACATGAGCCAGAGGCAACAGGCAGAGAGATGGGTTGAGAACTGGCTACACAATAGAGCCCAAAGAGTGGTGATCAGTGGTGCCAAGTCCAGCTGGAGACCTGGAACAAGTGGAGTCCCCCAGGGATCAGTGCTAGGTCCAGTCCTGTTCAACATCTTCATTAGTGACCTCGGTGATGGTACAGAGTGTCTGCTCAGCAAGCTTCCTGATGACACTGGGAGGTTTGGCTGATACACCTGAAGACTGTGCGGCCATTCAGCAAGACTGGGACAGACTGGAGAGCTGGGCAAACAAGAATCTAATGAGCTTCAACAAGAATAAGTGCAGAGTCCTGCACCTGGGAAGGAGTAGTAAAATGCACCAGTACAGGTTAGGAGGTGATCTGCTAGAGAGCAGCTCGGTGGAGAGGGACCTTGGAGTCCTGGTGGACAACAAGTTGTCCATGGGACAGCAGTGTGCCCTTGCAGCCAGAAGGGCCAATGGGATCCTGGGGTGCATTAAGAAGAGTGTGTCCAGCAGAACAAGGGAGGTCCTGCTCCCCCTCTACTCTGCCCTGGTGAGACCTCACCTGGAGCACTGTGTCCAGTTCTGGGCTCCCCAGTTCAAGAGGGACAGAGATCTACTTGAGAGAGTCCAGCGGAGGGCTATGAGGATGACTGGGGGACTGGAACACCTGCCTTATAAGGAGAGGTTGAGAGACCTGGGGCTTTTTAGTCTGGAGAAGAGAAGACTAAGGGGGCATCTAATTAATGTGTATAAATATATGAAGGCTGGGTGTCAGGAAGAAAAGGGCAACCTCTTCTCACTTGTGCCTTGCGATAGGATGAGGGGCAATGGATACAAGCTGGAGCACAGGAAGTTCCACCTCAACATGAGGAAGAACTTCTTTACTGTAAGGTTTTCAGAGCACTGGAACAGGCTCCCCAGGGAGGTTGTGGAGTCTCCTTCCTTGGAGACTTTTAACACCCGTCTGGATGTGTTCCTGTGTGACCTGCCCTAGATTAAATGGTCCTGCTCTGTCAAGGGGTTGGACTTAATGATCTCCAGAGGCCCCTTCCAACCCCTAACAGTCTGTGATTCTGTGAAAGAGTGGGGCTTAGACTAGATAGAATGAAGAAATTTTTCGCACTGAGGGTGGTGAGACCCTGGCCCATGTTGCCCAGAGAGGTGGTTGAAGCCCCATCCCTGGAACCATTCCAGGTGAGATTGGTTGGGGCTCTGAGCAACCTGCTCTAGTTGAAGCTGTCCCTGCTCACTGCAGGGGGGTTGCACTAGATGGCCTTGAAAGGTCCCTTCCAACCCAAACCATGCCATGGTTCTATGTACTAGGGAAAACAATTGAAACCAGATTTAACTCTCACCAAGAAAATCACATGGCTTCCCAGTATCATTTTTAGGATTTGTTGCTGCGTGTTCTTACACACGTCAGTAATCTTGCTTTCAACGTTTTCTGATTTGTTTATCCTTTGCTTTTGCCTTGGCAGGGTCGTGGGGAAGCAAATAGCGATCCCCACCGATGAAGGGTATGGGTGGTATTCAAGTTCACCTTCTGGCAGTTTAGGTTCCTCAGATGTAAGTTCACCACGAGAGAAAGATTCTAATGAGTAAGTACCAGCAGCTGACACAGACTGTGCCAAGGTGGGAAAGTGATTTTGTCCTCAGTGGACTGCAGTGATAGGCAGCTTAAAATGTGAAGCCTAAATCCTTTCCATTAGGCTGAGCTCTGAACACAGCACACTTCAATTTTTTTTTTTTCCCCCCTTTTTAACTCAGAGTAGTACCTTCAGCGTGGCAAGACTATGTGGCTGTGCTTGTTGCTAACTATGGTAAATTAGTTGGTTAACAGAATTACCTTTGTTGCTGCCTTGTCAACTGTATGTATTGTGGCTGGTTTGATTGTTAGTCATCTATTAAATTTGTAGAGAACATAAAAAATATAAAGCACTACATTAGTGCTTTTTTCATTAACATTTTAGAATTTTTTTTAATTTTTGCTGAAGTTTCATGTTCCCTAGCAAGAATTAAGAATATCCAAACCAAAGAGTTTTTACTGTAATGCATAATTTGCTGGCCCCCCCATTGCTTGTCCCTAACTACCATGTTGTCTCTCCACTCTCTGAATGCTGCTATTTGATATGGAGGAACAAAGTCTCACCCCTTGTTTCTGGAAACTGTCGCCTCTTCAGGTTTAGTGTTTTGGGCAAGAAGGTTCCTCTTTCCATTACTCCCACTCACAAAATGGCCAACGCTTCCACGCCTCCGACCTTGTGTTCTCCAGAGAGTGAAGAAGGTGAAGATGGAGTAATTGTCTCTGAAGGCATAATGGAGGAATATTTTGCATTTGACTGCAGAGATGTGTAGGTATTGAATATTAAGACAGCAACTAGTACCAGGGTCCTGGAATTCCTGCTGTTAAGATAGATAGGTATAGATATTGATGTATATATATATATATAGATCTAGGTCTATCTACCTATCTATCTATATTTGGGCTTATGTTAGATGATGAAGTATTTAACAAATTTACATATAGTATATAACTATTTTTTTAATATCTTTTCTCTAGAGAACTTTCAAAGGCCTGAGGTTGCTAGGGCACTGGGAATTCTCCCAGTCCATTTCCTAGAACAATTTCTTTTGCTAAATTTTTTTTTCTTATCTAGGTCTATCTACCTATCTATCTATATTTGGGCTTATGTTAGATGATGAAGTATTTAACAAATTTACATATAGTATATAACTATTTTTTTAATATCTTTTCTCTAGAGAACTTTCAAAGGCCTGAGGTTGCTAGGGCACTGGGAATTCTCCCAGTCCATTTCCTAGAACAATTTCTTTTGCTAAATTTTTTTTTCTTAATTTCTTGTAATTTTTCAGACTAGCCATTTTTGTGCCTGGTTTAAATAGTTCATTCCATTCTTAATGAAGAGTCTGCAACATATTGGCATATTTAATAAAACTAATTTAAATGCCTTTTTTTTTTTTTCCTAAATCAAATTCAGTGCTTTTTTTTATGCACTAGCAGTGTGCTGCTGTAGTTTTGTACTAACATTTTGGGTGGAATTGTATGTTTCCAGATTTTCAGCGATAACTTAAGAATTAGAGTGGATTTGATGCTTGCCAAGAAATAATTGTGCCTATTTTTATCTTTAAGAAAGAAAGGATTAAGGGTGGCATAAAGAGGATTCTTTTTTCCCCTTTGCTTCCTTCAACCCAACAATAGGAACATACGGCCTGGGGAAGGACTGAATGGTACTGTCAGTTGTTAACTACTTAATTGGGTTTAATAAATAAAGCCACTTAGCTGCATGGACCATGAGATTCAAACTGGTAGGTGGCCTGTTTTGACCAGGCCAGAGAGACATTGCTGCAGCAAACAATATTTGCTGGCTCTATAAAATAACAGTAGAAGTATTGTAGATTTTTTTCTAGTGGCATCTTTTTTTTAAAGGACTGTAGCTTTTTTGATGTTAAGTACTAATTCAGGGAGCATATATAAAAGCCATAACAAATGTGCTTGCATCAGTATTATTTTCTTCCTTCTATAAAGCTTCTTTTGGCAGATGAACACAAAACTTTGTTGAGCAGTTGTCTTCCAGGTTTCACCCTTCTGAGTATCTCTTACATTGTGGAAGAGTCTGGAGCAAAGGCCACTTCTTGATGGGGTTTTCTTTACTCTCACAGATTGCATCTAATTGTCTAAAACTGAATTAAGCCCAGGCCCTGAAGACCTCCTAGCTGTTAGAGCAGCAGGCTGAGAGTGGAATTGAAGAGTCAGGAGTAGTAACATTCCTCTCTTGTCTTCGGAATTCTGTAGTGACGTTCGATATGGAGCCTAACAACGTGATGAACAAATATCACTGCAACTGTTCATAGTTATTTTTAAATGGAACTTTGATCTCCTTGGTAAATTATTTATTATTCATGAAGCAGCGTTTATATTTGTTCTGTTTGGGAAACCAAGGTGTGCAGTAATGAGGTGGTTGTCTCCATCATTTCTCATTTAGGTCAGTAGTAGATTCTGGAAGAACTAAAAGTTCAAGTGTCCTGAAGTGTGTGAAAGAAGCTGCTTCTTTCAGTGTTGGACTGTTATTCAGTATTGCTATTTATTAAAAATCAGGTCTCAGAAAATAATATTGTGTGATAAGGACAAGTCTTCAAGCTATTTGACCGGCTGACTCAACCTATTTCGGGTTAAGAGAAAACAAATCAAAAACACAGCCTTAGCTGATGTTTTAACATTATTAGATAAATTAAATAAATATAGGAGACAAAGAGAATGTGTTTATGGTACAGGTAATGCTTAGCTTTTTACAGGGAGGAGGAGCTGCACGAGAAGAAAATTGTACTGTCCTCTGGTAGACGGAAATTGGGGTTTCCTCCTGTCTCTCCATATTCCTGCACAAAAGATTCTGTGCTCACGTTTGTGTTTGATGATGTGTGGAGCGAAGTCCTAGGCTGCATGGAAGAATTAATCTGCAAACACTGGGAATGGGCAGCCTCTGGTAAGGATCACAGTTACTTAGGGATTTCAGTTGCTTGGTTTTGGAAGGATGCAATGAGAGAGAGAGACATTTGGGAACAATCTCTTCAGGATGGGAAAAAAAAAGTTATTTTGCTAACAGCGTGAGATGCACCTTCAAAAGATTTAACAGAGCTTAGCATCTAACAGGATGCTCTTTAAAATACGTGGATTAATGGCCTTGCTAGTTGTGGACAGAGCTAACAGTTTTTATTGACAGGAATTCTCTGTTGCTTTCCACAGATGATGAGAAAAATATCCTAACAGTAGAAGCAATCAGGGCAGATGCTGGGAGCCTTTTGCCATTTGATCCTCTGCCAGCGTTGTTACCTCGTGTGCCACAACCTAAAACACCCTCAGTGACATCCAATCTGGTAAATATTTTTAGCCAGCTGGTTTGTGTAGGGACAAATCAATCCAGTGCTACCTAAGCAAACGGGTTCGAGTACGTCAGGGGGCTGCCGAGATACGCACATTGCCTGGATTTTGCGTGGATGCTGACTGTCCTTTGTAACACTTAAGCTCTGTTATTTCGTAGTTGCAAGTTTTAATTCCTACTTTTCTCTTTCAAACTTGATAATTTTTTATATATATATAGGACAAACGTGTGGTGACTGTTTGTTAATGACATAGTTCTTTTTACATTTCAATAATGTCTGAACTAAACTGAGAGATGGAGGATTGCCTGTGTGAGATCCTGTTCTCACTGTCTTATCTGGAGCTAATTCATCAGGCAGTAGGGGACAAATTTCAGTGCAGTTGTAAAACAGGCTTTTTTTTCTCAGACACTGAATTTGACTGGATAATCTGCTTTAGATGATCTGCTCCTAGTGTGGTGAGCACCAGAGTGTTATCTGTTTATCCCATTTTAATTCAACTCTTTCCTTATTTCTTTCTCCTTTATTTCTACCCCTGCCTCTTTGTCACGTTCCCTTTACTGTGTGTGTAGTGCCCAAAACCCAGATGTGGCCACAAAAGCAAAAAGAGGAGAAAACCACCTCAAGTATGTATGCTGGAGAGATTAAAGATCTGGTACTTTCTATTTGCTGTCGTTACGGTGGGTGGAATTGCGTGTTCTTTTCCCCAATCAGTCTGTAGCCCAGGGAAGGAGTTTGTGGTCCTGGTCTTGGCATAAAATGTCAACGTACACTGAAAATCAGTTTCGTGACATTTCTGATTATAGCCATTGTTGGAAGATCCTGTCATGCAAGTGAGAAGCTCAGCTGGGAAAGACTAAGTAGGACATAGCATGGTAGGATACATTTTCTAAGCACTACCATTTGCAAGAAAATGGAATGCTAAGATGCCTGTCTTAGATGGGGGTAAAAATATAATAGTATGCATATGGATGTCCTGGAAGAAATTAATTACTTTCCTGCCAAATTATTTACATGACAAAAATTTTAAATATGTGTGTATGTCTCTGCCAAACATTAACTTACTGATTTTTATTTTTTTTTTAAACTTACAGGTAAACCTCTCTCAAGGGTCAAGTAGTGGCTCTCAGTGTAATCTAAATGGCCTGATGGTGATACATGGGATCCGGTTACAGCAAAGGAATCTGCCTGTCATGGAGAAAAAGCTGTAAGAACTATAGATCATCTGTTGTGAAGTAGAGCACTCTCACAGAGAGGGGGATGCAATCCAAAACATTGTGAGAGAACTTTCTACACTGGAGAAAGTGATTCTCATTTATTTTTCTGCCTGTTTTATTTGTCCTCTATGAAACAGTATAATTCTAGTACAGGTTTTTGGTTGATTTGTGCTCATTTACACATAGTGAATGGCTATGGCATTACTGCTGGCACTAACTGACATCCTGAAATGAGATGAAGCTCGGAGTGGGAAAGAGAAACAGATTTGCTCAGCTCCTAGAAGCTGACTTGTGTTTAGATCTGGGCTATGTGTGTGAAAACTGGTGTTTACAGTGTGGGGCTTTTTTTTAATCTGTTTTGTGACTAATTTTTACTTTTATACTGGAATCTTCAATCGGAAAGTTCATAGTTCAGGAAAAAACATAAAGATAGGCTTGGTTTTTTTTTCTTTGGCATCCCCTATTCTTTTCTAATTTGGCTGTAAATTACTTTCTACAGTTATGTAAAAAATGAAAACACATCATCTCTATCCACATATAATATTCTTCATGTCACATGGAGATGAGTACTTTGCTAACAAGGTAGCTATCAGTGATGCTGACCACATCTCTTTTGGTTCTGTAATTGTGTCAGGGACCTGGACGAGAATCGGCCAGGCTCGGGTTCCATCCCCTCTGCTGGAGTGTGGCCAGATCGGCCCCTGGAGCTCAGCACGTCGTCCCTGCCGCGGCCCCCGGGAAGGCGAAATGCACCACCACGCACCCTGCATCCCCTCAGCACCAGCCACTCCCCTGCTGGGACCCCAGGGACTGTGGGCGACGTCTTCAGGGGGACTCGGCTGTATGTTTCAAAACCAGCCTCTCACTGCAAGTTAGCATATTTAGACAGCCTGGCTTGTGCAAAGAGCATTCAGCTGAACTGAAAGCAGTCGTGCTTTTTTCCCCCTTTCCTCACACTTTGATCAGTCGAAATTTTCAACATCTCCCCTTTATTATTATTCTTAAGTTTATGTAGAGAGCACTAGGAAAGTCTTTTTTAAAATGCTGATTATAGTTTGAAGCTTTTCTAATGGTGGCTTTCTATGATGAAGTAACTGTGTTAGTGGACAAGGGAAGAGCTGTGGTTGTCATCTATCTTGACTTCAGCAGGGGCGTTGACACCATCCCCCATAACGTCCTCCTTTCTAG